TCTTGGGCGGGTGGTTGGCGGTTTGGTGTTTGGTTGTTTTTTTTTTTCTTTCCCTAGGGAAATGGGTAGTTTTGCCATCTGGTGTAAAAAAGGGCCGGTTTTGAAATCCAGCCCCCAGCCCGTCCCCAAACCGCGGACGATCAGCGCGGGCCTGAGGCAGCTCTCGCTCCAGCCCTCCGCCTCAGACCAGAAGTACGGACACGTTCATGTTGGGTTTTTTTTTTTACTTCCCCACCCCCCCCAAGTCTTACCTGAACCCGTCTGGGACTGGGAATAAACCCCGCGACGGCTGGTGCCACCTCGTGGTTTCCATTCCCCTGGTCTGGGGCTCGTTCTCTGTTGCGAGAGACATTAATTGGTTCTGATCTGCTACAGGTCACCCGGGGCTCGAGGCAGCGTCAAACGCGCTTCTCAGCACGAATCTCTGTACGACGCCTCCAACATCTACGGCCTCTCGGGTAAACCGTTTCTTCATCTGGACTCGGAGGAGGAAGCCGCGTAAAGCAAGCACATCCGTCTTTAGGGAGCACTTTAAAATGAAAATACAGGCCGGGAGCCAGCTCGTACGCGAGCGTTCCCTTTAAAGGCTGGGATTGAGCTACGTTTTCGGAGGAAGGTTTCCTTAAAGGCTTCTCCCTTCCTGAAAGTTATTCCTTGCTTGAATTAAGACATCGCTGACGTGGTGCTCAAACTCTTCTCTGGGTGCTAAGGTGGCCCCTTCCGCTCCCCTGCTTTATGCGGTGGGGGTGGTTTCGGGTGCGCGTTTTCGGGTGCGCGTTTTCGGGTGCGCGTTTTCAGAGCAGCTCCCGGGATGTTCCTAAAGCATCTCTCCCTTCTCTTCCCAGCCATGGATGGCGTGCCTTTCACACTACACCCCAAATTCGAAAGCAAGCTCAGTTCTGGCAGTAACGTGAGTCTTCCTTTAAAAGCTGCTGGTTTTAGTCCCGCCTCATAACTAATCTTAATTAGAAACACTTCACACACCCCCTTTTTTCTTTTTCCCCAGGCTATCCTTGCAGACCTGAACGTTAAGTCGCTTGCCGATATCGAGAAAGAGGTAAGCGGGGCCGCTTTTGTCACGCGCCTCTTTCGGGGCGGATAGCGGTCGTATTCTGAATTCCTCAAACACCAGCGTCTCGTCCTGACCGATTGTTTTTCGTCCTGACCGATTGTTTTTCGTTTTCAGTACAATTATGCTTTTGTCGTCGAAAGGACGGCCGCTGCCAGGCTCCCGCCCAGCGTCTGTTAGCACCGGAGTCTACCTCGAGGACGTAAACCGCAGCCGGACACCCAGCTGGGCTGAGCCCCTCCTCTCTCTCTCTCTCTCTCAGATTAAAGTTCAGGCTACCTGAAGAAATGCAATCGATACCCGATTACGGGAATTGCTTAGGGAGAAAAAAAATAAACGTGTTTCTCTTCTCACCTGCCAAAAGCTTTTTGTAACGGTTTGGAAATACAGGGCTTCGGGGTTGGCACGTGCAGCGGCACAACGTACAGAAGTTCCTGGCCGTGTTTGTTCTCCTACGCTCCCGTCACCGCTACGACTCTCTTATTCTGAACGTTACCTCCTGCGAGGGTGGTTACAGCGTTTCCGCTGTGTGAGAACTCCTACCCCCTCGGCCTCACCTCCAGGCTGCTGCTGTCCTTGCTCCTGCACTCGCTCTCAGCGTCTATTAAAAACATCATCACAAAGCTTTCGGCCCCACAAAGGAAGTTCCAAAACACGTTTCAAAATACATCGATTCTGATTTTAGTTACCAAATTCTGTAAACGTTTCCTTAAACGTTAGGGCAGTACAAAACTCCCGACAGTTGGTGGCGCGTCCTGGAAACATTAAAAAGTCAGCTCTTGTTTCACAGAGGTGGTTTCCACATGATTTGGAGGAAAGCTTCCCCGCGCCTGGTTCCGAGCAGGATCAGAGTTATTGTCAAAAGAAGGAAGGATGATTCTTTGTGATGGCGAAACACGGCCCCGGGTGCTGTCCTTGGTGTAGCACTGCTGGGGGCGAGGACCTCGGAATCCGTTTCAGGAAGGCACTTTAAGTTTTGCGCTCCCCAGCAGAAACTGAAGAATTCGGTCCACTAACAAGGCGAGGAAGAAGTCAGCCAGCAACACTTCCGTGATCACGACCTTGAACTAGGAAAACAAACACAACCCGTTAGTCCCTCTCCTCCCTCTCTTCGCTTACTCTGGCCCCGCAGAACAGAGCCTCTGCCCCAGGAGGCGCTCCTGGCCGCTGCGGCGACCGCTGAACTAGAGCTTGAACTTCCCCCTTTCGCCAGCGTGCTGTAAAAACGGCTAAATCGTAAACGTTTCACAGCATGCTGTAAGAAATCCCCAGTGCTTCAGCAGCATCGCTACCCTATCCTCTCTCTCAAAGCTAGGTGGGTAAGGTAGTGCTCCTGTGAGTTACTGTCTGCCTTAAGATTCCCCCGGAGTTCCCGAGGACGGGCCGAGTCCCGCTCTCCCAGCTGAAACTGTGCGTAAAGTGCAGTAGGCGCAGAGAAACGCTGCCTGCTCACCTCAGCAGGGATTTCTACCAAGCCAAACTGTTCACTGAATTCTGGCGAAGAGCCCGTGAGAAGGCCCACGATGGCGAGTCCCGAAAGGATGATGCTCCAGAGTAAAGGCTTGTTCTCCCGCAGACTCTCCATGAAAGGATGGCCCTGAAACACAGCGGGGAGAAACCGTGAGCAGAGGCGAGGCTGCGCTCGTTCAGACTAGGGGGTGCGGAGCAATTCGTGACGCAGTTTGGGACGCTCGGCTCGTTCCAACTTGGTGCCAAAAGAGGGAGGTTTTCCCCGCAGAGCGCCGACAAAGTGTGGTTTGTGATTAGAGAAGAACGTTGGTTTGTACTATTGCACCTTAACGACAAAGTCGCTTCTCTGGTGCTGCTGGAGATGTGACTTAAACACGGCTTGCCTTGTAGTTGATAGCAAACGTGGCCATCTGCATTGCCATCGACATGATGTAGACGGTGCTGTTCACGAGGCTGGGCTCAAACTCCTTGTACAGATCCACAAACTCCTCCTGTCTAAAAGGGAACAAAGCTGGAGGTCAGCGGACCAGACTCGGAATCACCGGTTTATTTAAACTACGGTTTATTTAAACTACGTGCAAGTTTTGTCGGGCAACGGCAGTTTGTTCCCGGATTTTGGTGGCTCCCGTTCGCGGCAGCCCCGCCTCCGACACAAGCGTGCTTGCGTGGGTGAGAGCGGAGCTGCAGATGCTGCAAGCACAGGTAATCGTCAGGTTTGGGTTTTTTCCACAAAATAAAAATCAAGTGGGGAAAAAAAAAAAAGAAAAAAAGAGGTTTTTGTGTGTTTTTCTTTATAACTTTCCAGTAATCCACCTCATATTGGCGTTACTTCTCTTCCCCTTTCCCCTCCCAGCGTGGGGACAGTAGACCACTGGAACTGCAACGTGTCACAGACCACATTCCCACCGGTTCCATCGCGTCCTTGCCACGCTGGGCTGCCTGCCCGTGCGCTCGATGCTTTTTCTGGACACCGCCTAATGCTTGGCGCGCTCAATAAAGCGTTCGCAGAAAGAGCGCTGCGGTGAGGGAGGCCTCTCTCCACCCTCCCGCTTAGCAGGAATTGGGAGAAAACATTCCAGCGTCGGAGGAGGAGACACTTACTTGGAATCGCTGCGCGCCTGGGCACCGCGGTACAGGTAAACGAGGCTGAGGAAATGCACGAGGAACTGCAGCAGCACTGTCAGGACCGTGTAGAGGTTAAAGATGTTCGGCAGCGGGCGCTCCTTGGAAAGCGTCTTCAAAGGCTGGGAGAGAAAAGCAAGCGGGGTTGACTCGAATGGTTTTGACCATCTCCAGGCAGTTTTCCAGCAGAACCCAACTATAACATTTGTGTTTCTCAGGAAACGCCTGCAGGAATTTGGACACGAGGAAAAGTTTTCTTTACTGAAAGAGCGGTTAAACGTTGGAACAGGCTGCCCAGGGAAGGGGTTGAGTCCCCATCCCTGGAGGTATTTAAAAGACGTGTAGATGAGGCGCTCGGGGACATGGTTTAGTGGGCATGGGGGTGTTGGGTCGACGGTTGGACTCGATCTTAGAGGTCTTTTCCAACCTTAATGATTCTACGAATTCCACTTCAGGCGTACATGAGACCCACGGCTTCGTTGGTGCAAGTAACGGCCTCAGCTGAACCACGGACCTGCATCCCCCTTCCCACCTCTTCCACCTGCTCTTCCCGTAACCCGAACAAAGCTGCCTGCCTGCAATCACAAGATGCTCCCTTAAGCAAGCGCTGGCCTCAGGAGCCTCCCAAATCCAAAGGGGGAACAAAAAAACCCCCCAAACCCCACCCCCTCCAGCACTGTGGGCTGTTAACTTATTAAAATAAACGGCTTTTTCTGGAGAGAGGCACTCCCTTCAGTAATCCCGATACCACGGCCATCGACCAGCCCCCGTCCCGACGCACTTCCCTCCCCTTACCTTCGACCTGGAGATGAAAAGGAAGCAGCCAGCCAACAGCAGACCCTGCAGAGTTGCCTGAAAATCACTGAACTTCACCCCTTCCAAGTAGAGGACGCTCTGGCTGTAAGCAAGGATCAGGGCGTTCAGGGCAAGGATCTTGAACATTTGGAGCGTTGTCACTAGCGTGCAACGACCTTGCTTGATCACGTGGCAGACTAAGGAGCAAGAGGAAGCAGCGTTTGGAAACAAAACAAAACAGGTTCTGGGGCTTCGTCCCTCAGTCCTCTCCTTTTCTGAAGCAGTACAGAGGGAAGCTAACCCCTCACCGCTTGCGTGTCCATCCAAGAAACCCCCGCAGGCCTGCGCCACACAAAAAGCTGGCAAAGCCATGGGTTTGGGGGCGTTTCTCACCACCCCACGCCCTCTGTCTTTGGCTTCTTTCAAACCCAGACTTATTCCCCTCGGGGAACCCGGACACGTGGAGATGCACACCAACTGTTCAGCTCCCACCACGCACTTACTGCACTGAATGGAAGAGAGCTTGGAGGTAAAGGGGGCTGCAATGCTGGCATCGCCCAACTTCACGACTGGTACGCGCTCCTCTTCCAAATCCTTCAGGACCTGACTGATCCGCTCCTGCAGGCCAACAAGAGAGAGATGCAAACGCATCACCTCATTATCGCAAACCTGGATCAAAGATGATCTTGCGCTCTCCTCCCCCACACCCCTGCTCCAAGGCGAGGCTAGAGAAGCCTTCATGCTTGCATCCTTCATGATGCTTCCAGCATCAGCTCGATGGCTGGCTGGAAGAGCAGCACCGCCTCTGCCCAAATCCATTCCGCTACTTCAGGATAAGAAGCAGAAAAGCTGGTCTCCTCCCAGCACATCCTGCCATTTCCAGCGTTCTCACGAATTAGCAGTAAACCAGAGGAGGAACAAAGAGCGAGGATAAGTTAACGGGCTTTTAAACATCTAGTTACCAACCCTCTGGATGGCCAGCTGTTCCTCTCTTTGGGACATGACCCTGTGCTTGGCGCCACGGGAGGTGGGCTTCACAGTTCCGCTCCCCATCAACGGCAAAGCAGGCCTCCCATCACCGGGTCCGTCTCGAGTTCTCTTCTTCCGTTCGGGCAGTCTCTCAGGAGCATTTGCCAGCAGTGCCACTCCTGTAAGAGTGTAAAAACATTAGCTGCAGGGAAAAAGGGCTGCAGTCCCTTTGCCGGCAGAGCGTTTTCACCAAGTAGGAATCCCAGCTGCTATTAGACCTGGAGTCAGGTGGGCAGGCTTGTTACGCAGGGACTTCAGACGTGTTACACTTGCTGAAGCGAAGCTTAGGGAAAAAAAAAAATTAGGGAGAATCTTTCTTCCAGGAAAATGTGTTTGCAGCTAATTCCCGCTGCCTGCTGGTGAGCACAGAGTGGGTATTCCACCAGCACAGAGATCCTCCTTCTTTATGTTGGTTTATGCCACCAAATGACGTTGGTCAGATCGATCCCAGCCCTCAAAACACCCGAGAAACAAACACTGGGTTTGTGTTTAGGAACGCTAGCCAAACTCAGTCGGGGGCGCAGGCGAGGTCCTGCGTGTGGACTCACCCACATCTGCATGTTTCAGAGCTCCGACATCGTTGGTCCCATCCCCACACATCAGCGTGACGTAGCCCAGGCTCTTCAAAGTCGTGATCACAAACTCCTGCAAAAAGAAACGCGTCGTGAGAATCGGCAGCTTGCACGTTCCGATACACTGCAGCCTGGGCTGGGTTAGGTGTCTCGGTCAAGTGCTTCTGTTCTGCAGGAGCTCGCTTGGCCTCACACCCAGACTCCAAAATCTTCACCTTCAGGCTCTGTTTTGGGAATGCAGAGCTAGAACGGGCTCAGGACTCTTTAGGAGAACAACGTGGCACCTCCTGAGCTCTGGTTCTTGCTTCCTGCTGGCTCGGGTGTTGGGAGAGGTTACGCTGCTTTGTTGAAAACAGCTTTAG